TCATGCCCTTCTGCAAAATGAAAAATGGTGTTGGAAACCTGAATGGAAAAATCTTGAGCATCATTGAACCCTGCAGGGACATGAAGTATATTGAAATATTCCACCTGTTTTATGGCTGTTGCTTTTCCTCTTTCAGGTTTGATATCTACAGGAAGGTGCCAAAAGACCTCACACAGCCAACCTACACAGGAGCTATTAGTAAGTACCAGCTCTCATTGCCTCCTGGGCATACCCCAGTCTAAAATTAGTATTTCTTCTGGCCTCCCTCTAAAAGGTCTGATTTTTAAAGAGATATTAAACACATGAGAAAAGACATCTTCTGTAGCTGAGGCAGCTTGCTGTGTCCAGTCTGTGCTCTTGTACGGAGGAGCTGAACAGCCCCTGAAGGCAATTTGTTTTAGAACCACACGGACAGAAAATGGCAAAAAGGGAGCTGTTAAAAGCAGGCTGTGAACTACCAGCCATTTAACTCTGACACGGGCTGAAGTAGATGGGGAGCTGCTAGCTCCCTCCCTTGATGGGTGCGTGCCTGCTCCAAACAGACTTTTCAATTCTTGCCCCGCCTCCTGCCCCGCCTCTTCCCTCAACGCCTCACCCCCTGCTCACTTCTCTTCTCCCCTCCCTCTGTCACTTGCTCTCCACCACCACCACCCCCCTGGCCCCACTCACTCCCCACACTCCCAGGACTCACCAGCTGCCTGCAGAGCCAGGCTGGGAGGAGCTGACATGGAGCCTGCCCACCTGCCCAATTGGGGCACAGCGGGGGGTTGGTCCCCAGAGCAGGGGGCTGGGGCAGGGAGGGATCAGTCCCGGTAGCAAGGGGCGAGGGCTGGGGCAATCGGGGCACAGCGGGGCAGAAGGGGGTGTGTGGAGATGTCCCTCCCTCTCCTTCCCCCCCCCCCCCAGCCAGCCACTGCTCTCTGTCAGGTGTCAGCAGCTGAGCAGCTCCTCCATGTGGCTGCAGCTGCTGCTCTTCCTACCCCCGAGTGATGGAGGCTGGTTACTGCAGCCAACAGTCAGCTGTGCTGACTGGATGCCTCTAGGAACACCTGACAACCCTAGCTTTGGACTCAGCTAGCTTAAATAATTTTGTATAATCTGGAGACTTTGCCGCTTCTGGATCATTAATTGATCACTTTTCTGGATCATTTAATTAATATGTTAAACAGCACAGGTTCCAATATAGATGCCTCTCTCCATTGTGAAAACTGATTATTTATTTCTACCCTTTCTTTCCTTTGTTTTAACCAGTTACTGATCTAGGAGAGGATCTTCCCTGTTATCCTATGACTACTTAATTTCCTTAAGAGCCTTTGATGAGGGACCTTGTCATAGGCTTTCTGAAAATCCAGATACACTATATCAACTGGATCAGCCTTATACACATGATTGTTGACTCTCTCAAAGAGCTCTAATAGATTGGTGAGGTATGACTTCCCTTTACAAAAGCCATATTGACTCTTCCCCAACAAATACTTTTATGTATCTGAAAATTCTGTTCTTTACTATAGTTTCTACCAGTTTGCCCCCTACAATGTGGGACAATACTGCATATTTGTCACCCAAAAAGAACAGCGCTCATATGGGAATCTTCCTGCACATCCTCTGCAGTGAAGATCAATACAAAGAACTCATTTAGCTTCTCTGCAATGGCCTTGTCTTCCTTGAGTGCTCTTTTAACACCTTGGTTGTCTAGTGGCCCCACTGCTGGTTTGTCAGGCTTCCTGTTTCTGATATACTTTAAAAAAAAACAAAACAAAAAAACCTCAAAACCTTACTACTAGATTTTGCATCTTAAACAAGTTGCTTCTCAAATTCCTTCTTGGCCTGTCTTATTGTACTTTTACATTTTATCTGCCAGAGTTTGTGCATGTAGGATTTGACTTCCAAATTTTAAAGGATGCTTTTTTGCCTCTACTGGCTTTCATTACTCTGCTGTTTAGCCAGAGTGGGATTCTTTTGGTCCTTTTATTGTCTTTTCTGATTTGAGGAATGCATTTAGTTTGCGTCTTTGTCATGGTCTTTCTAACTAGTCCCCATGCTGTTTGCAGGCGTTTTACCTTTGTGGCAGCTCCATTTAATTTCCATCTAACAAGTGGCCTTATTTTTATATCGTTCCTGCTTTTAGTGTTGGGTCTCTTTGGTATTCTGTCCCCTACAAGGATGTTAAAGTTAATTAGACGATGGTCACTATTACCGAGCTGTTCAGCTATAGTCACCTCTTGGACCAAATGCTGTGCTCCACTTAGGACTAAATCAAGAATTGCCTCTCCCCTTGTGAGTTCCAGGACTAGCTGCTCCATGAAGCAGTCATTATGGTATCTAAAAGTTTTAACTCTCCGTTATGCCCTGATGTGACATTTACCCAATCAATAAGAGGACAGCCGAAATCACCCATTACTATTGTGCTTTATGCTTTTGTAGCCTCTTTAACCTTCCTTAGCATTTCACAATCGCTGTTATCAGTCAGGAGAGCGCTGGGGTGGTGGGGTGGCAATAAAGATGGGATTCCTCTGGGATCAGAGGTGGAGCTGTCGAGGAGAAGAGAGCCCAGTATGACTTATTTTCTGCAATTTTTTTGTTTTTATTTTTCACTTTGCCTATAACTAGGGTCCTACCAAATTCCTGGCCATGAAAAATGTGTCATGGACCGTGAAATCTGGTTTTCCCCCCGTGAAATCTGGCAGCAGCAGAGAAGTAAGGGTGACAATACCGCAATCCCCCTAAAATAACTTTGCCACCCCCCTGCAACTCCCTTTTGAGTCAGAATTCCCAATTTGACAAATCCTGGTCCCCCCCTGTGAAATCTGGTCTTTTGTGTGCTTTTACACTATACTACACAGATTTCACAGGGGGAGACCAGCATTTCTCAAATTGTGATCCTGACTCAAAAGGGAGTTGCAGGGGGGTGGCAAAGTTATTTTAGGGGGATTGCGGTATTGCCACCCTTACATTTCTGCTGCTGCCTTCAGATCTGGGTGGCTAGAGAGAGTGGTGGCTGCTGACCAAGGGCCCAGCTCTGAAGGTAGCAGCGCAGAAGTAAGGGTGGCGATATCATACCATGCCATCCTTACTTCTGCGCTGCTACCTTCAGAGCTGGGCCCTTG